AATCATCAGTCATCGAAGAAATTTTAGTGGCCATCGCATATGATTAGTGAGAAGAACCGATATTATGTTTAGTTCTGATAGTACGGTAACGAATAATCGGAGGTTTAACGTTTAGAGATATGAAAACGTGAAAATAATCAAATTTTTGACATTTTTCAGCTGAATTACAGCTGAATCTCTTCAAATTCCTTAATTCTCAGCTGAAAATTGATGAATTTTACCTTGAAGAGTTTACACCTTATCAACTTATCAACTATTGTTGATGTTGGCGNAAACCATCCGCTTTCTCTACCCATTGAGTAATTTGACGAAACGATTCTGAGTGTGAATTACACTGGAGCGATAATTTGAATTTCGATTGAAAAGATAAAGTGATACGAGAAGATAACTAAAGCGATGTTGAATGTGCACTCTGCCGTCGATCAATTATTATCATCCTAACAGAAAATTCATTGCAATGACTTATCAGCCAAAAGTACACTTTCGGTTCATTCATGACTGCAGCAATCAGGTGATGCAATGTGTTCTGGTTAAGAAAAATAACAAGTGATTTATATCGAGCGAAGAAAACACCTATGGGAGTCAACAGAGTTGAAAATCCTTAGTGTATCTAATGGGTTTCGTTTATTGCTTAATCATATCAAAGATATTTGTGATGCATCTATGTGAAATAGCGACATATGGATAGATTTTTGATTGTCTTTTGAATTCAATTATCATTTTAATACGGTCTAATCGCTTTATTATCAATCGTCATTTGGAAAGTGCTTTCCTAAGATTGAAACTTTGTACAGACTTTTTATGATAGAGAATATTTGAAAATTGCATTCAGTATTTTTAAAGAGCATCTCACCACATAGCACAAAAAGTTAAAGAGATTAGGCAATTCTGATCACTTTGCACGTTTCACATCTATTCTCTGTTATAACGCCATATTTGATTATTATGTTTCCACTGAACACTTTGGTAGGCGCCATAGTGAAACCTGATTTTTAGGGATTTTCGTTCAGAAACTACAGTGAAGTTTTAGAACTTTGGAAGTTTCCTTTTTCTCATCGAACAACGCTGGTGTTTAGAAGCCAAGATACTTTTTGCCAACAAAGGGTAAAAAATCACGAGGCAGTGAAATTCCCTTGAATATTTTCATGAATCTAAAGTATTTTGATAAGTCTTCAAAGTGGTTTGATAACAAATCCGTTGTTATTGTCAGTATTGTATAGTTTTTGTTCACTGCTGATATTCAGTGATTCTGCGTCGATTCGCGCACACGGATGTGCGATTCCCAAACTTCGATGAGTATCGTCACGATGCCACACTTGACTGCAAAAAAGCGGCAAGAGAAACTGAAGATGAACGCAGAGTGGTTCCACAAATGATCTATTACGGAGGTGAGTTCCTGATTTTATTTCCTCACTCTCTACCTTGGGATGAGTTGTAATTATTAATGTGATAGAATCGCTGCAATTGTATCGCACGAACGGTAATTTCGAAATCATTTGGGAAGTTGAACAACCACAAACAGGGAACTAATTGGTTCGAATGGTCCCAAAATTGGAAGATTTTGCAAATCTTCGTTTGGAAGCGACTTTTTGAAATCTGAAGAAGCGACATTTCAGTAGGAGGAATGTTGGCATTGATGACCGCCAAGGAGTCCGTGCAAAAAATGGTTGCTTTCAAAGGTATGGCCTGTGATCAGGTGGCACAGGCTTTTACCATTGTGAACATGGATGAAATACCCGAGGGACAGGTAAACTCCCTTCAAAAACTTTTGAAGTATGCACATTTCCAGACCGATGCTCTCTTACCGATGATCAAAACGTACTATTGAAAGTCGTTTTTGGTGATTTTCAAACAGTGTTATGAACACAAATAAGCTGGCGTCTAAAATGAGATTATAAAACGTGATTGAAGTATTTATCTCAATTAATAAAAAGAATCACAACAACAGTAGTCACGAATAGAAGTGAAAGTAGACAATAACCAAACATACGATGCCTATGACAAGGTAAATGCGTACAATCAAAAGTATTAAGTTTGAAACTTGAATTTATTATTTGTCAGCTTGGTGCCTGATCAAGTTTTAAACTCAATAAGGGTTAAATTTGCGAACATTTTTTCGTTGACGGTTTCCATGCAGCAGCAACATGCATACGTAATCCTGAGCAATCAGAGCAATTGATAATGAATTGATAATGAAGATAATGAATAAGATTGCAGACGAAAACGTATGAATGGCAAGGAAAACCAGTGTTTGTCAAGCACCGAACAGCACATGAGATCGAAGAAATGAAAGCGATTAATATAAGCCAATTGAGGCATCCGGAGTCTGATAGTCAACGAGTGAAACGAGCTGAATGGCTGGTTGTAGTTGGTGTTTGTACACATCTCGGATGTGTTCCGAGTCGTAAGTTTTAGTTCATTCGAATGGAAAATTTCCCTACAATAACTTTCTAGATTGATTTGTCTGTGTATGACTTTGTTATACGAGGATGTAAACGTGTTTATCATGTTGATAGGAGATAGATTTTGGAATCAATAAAAGCCAGAGATCAATATGTGCATCGTAAAAACTTAATCCAAATATTTGAATTTTGATGAGATCTTATCGCTTGCAATCCTTTTTTTTGCCATATTATTAAACTGTGCAATGGATTTGGGATTCCTTCA